CACTCCCCACAGATGGGCCAATCAGAGAGCCTAGATCTGCTCCTGTCCCACAAACCTCTCCCCGGTGTCACTTCCGGTGATGTGACGTCACTGGATGACATGGCGGAACTTGCCAGATTGGCTGTACAGCTGGGACAGGTAAGATAGCACATTTTGTTTTGTTTTGTTTCTTTGTTTTTGTGTGTGTAATCGTATGTTTGTTGTAGTTTTGTTCTTGTATGTTTTGTTATTTTGTTTGCAACGTAATAAGGTCATATATAGTACTGAAGATTAGAATTTAGTTTTCAGCTTAAGTTTTAGTTTTAGTTAGAGCTTAACGGCTTTTTGTATGGTTGTTTTGTGTGTTTGTTACCTGTGGTCATATCATCATCATCATCATCATCATCATCATCATCATCATCATCATCATCATCATCATTATCATCGTCAAAAAACAACAACAGCAGAACAACAACAGCATCACCAACACCACCACTACTACCACCAACAAACAGCACTTCATCCAGTACCACCACTACTACCACCAACAAACAGCACTTCATCCAGTACCACCACTACCACCACTACTACCAGCAACAAAAAAACAACAAAACAATAGCACTATCACTGTCTCCCTTCCCCCCTCCCCCCCCCCTTCCAGTATCGGAACACATTAACTCCCATAGGTCAACAAATTACGCACCAATCAACACCGGCCCCCTTCCCCAGGAGTCGTGTCTAAGAAGCATCGCCCACCACCAGGGCTGTGATTGGCTGAGAGATCTGGAGGACCAGGGCGGGAACTCTCTGCTACACCTTGCCGCTCTCTGTGGTCAGCCTGTCTCTCTCACGGTCTGTTGGTCTGTCTGTTTGTGTGTCTGTTTGTCTGTGTGTCTGTCTGTCTGTCTGTTTGTCTGTGTGTCTGTCTGTTTGTTTGTGTGTTTGTCTGTTTGTTTGTCTGTTTGTTTGTTTGTCTGTTCGTTTGTTTGTCTGTTTGTTTTTTGTTCATTTGTTTATTGTTTGTTTATAAGTTAGTTCGTTTATTTGTTTGTTGTTTCCTTTGTTTATTGTTTGTTTCTTTGTTCGTTCGTTTATTTATTGTTTGTCTGTATGAGTTTTAAAAAAAACTTTGACAAAATAACTGTCATTTCGTTATAGGACGAGTGGGGAGATTTTCTGTTGAGTATTCCAGTCTTTGTACTGGCATGTCATAGAGGGCAGCCCGCCTCCTATAGGACTTACATTGTGAGGATGGGCGCGTACAAACCACCTACTTTCAGTTTTAGTTTTAGTTGAGGTTTTACGGCGCTCGCAACAGCATAAGGTCATATGAGCGCCAGAAGATGAGAGGTGTTACAAGAGAGTAACAAACACAAAAAAGAAGGGGAGATAAGGACGACAGATGTTCGATAGGAAAGAAGACGCAAACCACACCAGAGCACCCGTCAACCACCCACAACTACTTTCAAAAGAAAAGAATGTACTTTGATGATCGTTGTCTCTTCCTCAGACTCTCATCTCTCTGGGATGTTCCACGAGGAAGGAAAACCACCAGGGCCTGTTGCCCATACACTTTGCACTCACTGACAAACACAGCAACAGCAACAACAGGGACAACAGCAACAGCAGGGACAACAGCAACAACAACAACAATAACAGCAGGGATGACAGCAACAATAACAGCGATGAAAACAGCAGCAACAACAACGCCAACAGCAGCAACAGCAACGGCGGCAACAACAATAGCAGCAGCAATAACAACAGCAGCAACAACAACAACAACAACAACAGGGATGCCAGCAACAACAACTGCAAAAGTAGCGGCGGCAACTGCAATGGTCACAACAACGACAACAACATCATCACCACCAACGACAGCAGAAAAGGAGAAGAGTTGTCTATCAGGGGAGACAATGGTGTGTTGAGTATTTTGTTGACAGACATGTTGAACAAGAAACTGCTGCAAGCTTTGCTCAACGCTACGGACATCACTCACAGGTCAGTATATATCTCTCTTTCTTTCTTTCTTTCTTTCTTTCTTTCGTTCTTTCTTTCGCGCTCTCTCTCTCTCTCTCTCTCTCTCTCTCTCTCTCTCTCTCTCTCTCTCTCTCTCTCTCTCTTTCCCTTCACTCTATCGCTTTATTTCTTTTATTCTTTTATTCCCATTCTATCTCCCCTTCCCTTTCTCTCCCTCTTTCTCCTCTCTTTTTCCCTCTCTCCCCTCTGTCTCTGCAAATATTCTCCTTCTCTCTTCTACTCTCTCTCTCTCTGTCTCTCTCTCACTCTCCCTCTCTGTCTCTCTCTCACTCTCTCTGTCTCTCTCACTCTCTCTCTCTCTCACTCTCTCTCTGTCTCTCTCTCACTCTCTCTGTCTCTCTCTCATTG